ACCTTAGATCTGATCTCTTAGGATCCTCCACAATACTTGTGTAGTCAAACTAGGCATTGGAATCTCATTAAACTTATCTACTTGAGCAAACTGGATGACACTGTCAGCTTGTGCTCTCAATATCCTAGTGCTCCTCTCAAGACTTCTCTTGACCTCTGTCGACACCACCATTACTTGACGATATCTGCCAGCCTGGTCTTGCAATATCTCAGCCTGGTGGTCTTGCTCTCTTGACCCTTTACACACCCTCTATCAACCTTTTCTGGTTGTATCAATGGCAGCCTTGTGTCTGGTATTGTGTGCCCTGACATTGCTTGTGTGGGCAAATTGATTCTGTTTTTGTGCCTTTCCAAGAGCTTCACACTTGCCCAAGCATCAGAGTGAATGGGGTCCTCTTTTGACTGGAGTCAAAAGAGGGGACAAATTGCCTAAAGCTGACATGCATGGACCCCTAAACAGCTGTCTGCAAAGGACTTCCATAAGGGTTTGTGCTTTTGTTCCCGAATTGGGTCTCGGATGAATTCAATGTGCACGTGATCAACTTCCCCGCATTGGTCTCATTGGGCGGAAAAGGCCCTCCTGGACGTTTTCTCTTCAAATTCTCTCTCATCCCTCCCACACAATCCACAATACGAGGGCACAGGATGGCTAGCGTTGAATATTTTCCACATATCACATCGGATTAACTCGGTATACTTCGGAACAGTGTGGCAACGCCCAGGCAAGAAAAGGCAAAACATCGCGGCGGGGCGGAAGCTTTGTTGTGGGGTAACTTCCTCTTTGGCTTGCAAGGTGCGGTAGGACAGCAGCCAGCATCACAGCGAAGCACAACGACCATGTCCCCTAATGAAACGGCCTTGTCATCAGTAACAATAATCATAACGACTTCCTCTGTGCGATTGAGCGGGATAGCGCCTGATGTCCCTGCGACGAAGGAGAGCCAGCCGCCAGCCGACGAACGAGAGAAGAGGAAAGGCAAACCCCTCGGAGAGAGGATCCGACATTTCACCCCGAGTTGGTTTGCGGTGACCATGGGTGAGTGTAGCCTGTTCTCCTATTGCCTCTAGTTGACCAGGCAGGCAGGGACGGGCGTGCTCCCCATCGTTTTCCACCAACTGCCCTACGGCATCGCCGAAGCCCTCTACTGGCCGAGCGTCGCCCTGCTCGGACTGAACGTCCTCCTCCTCCTGCTATTCAGCATCGTCACCATCCTCCGATACGTCCTGTACCCAGGTGTGTTTAACCTCATGCTGCAGCACCCCCGCGAGTCCCTGTTCGTCGGTACGATCCCGATGGGGTTCGCGACTGCTGTGAACGCAGCGACGAGCTTGCTAGTGGAGACCAAAGGGTGGGGAGGGGACGCGCTCCTAGTTTTCCTCTGGGCCGTGTTCTGGGTCGTCATCATCTCGAGCGCCGTGATCTGTGTGTGGATGATTCATGTCGTGTGCGTCTGCAGTATCTGCTCTCCCCTCTCGCTAACCCTTCCTAGGTCAACGAAGCATCCTCTCACATTGGACATGATCACCGCCACCATCCTTCTCCCTTTCGTCCCACCCATCGTTACCTCCGCCCTAGGCGCCCAAGTCGGAACAGCACTTGCTGCTTCGCACCCGGGACGTGCCCAACTGACCCTCTTCGTCTCTTATGCGTCCCTCGGCCTCGGCTTGCCAACAGCTATGCTCTTGCTTGCAGCGTACACAATCCGGTTGGTGCTACACGGTGCGCCTCCGCGAGGCGCGCTCACCTCTGTCGTCCTCCCCCTAGGTCCGATCGGTCAAGGCGGGCTAGCGTTCATCACCCTCGGCCAGCTAGCGCAGAAGGTCATCATCCCCCAAGACATGGAGATGTCTGCCATCCCGGTGAACAGTATCTTCGGCGTGCCGAGCATGGGCGACTTTGCATTCATATACGGAGTGGTGAGCGGATGCTTGCTCTGGGGTTTCGGGCTGGTCTGGGCATGCCTGGGACTGCAGACGATCATAGAAGCGGTGACTAAAAAGCAAGGCCCGAGGTTCGGGATGCCCTGGTGAGTTGCCCTCCTCCCCTTTCTACATGCGCTCACGTACTGTATTTCCGCAGGTGGGGCCTCACCTTCCCCATTGGAGTATATACCCTCCTAACACTCAGCCTATCCGTCGCACTGGCCCCAACCCCGCTGAGCTTCTTCCTCGAAGCGGCCGGCACAGGGCTGGCGGGCATCCTATTCCTCATCTGGCTATATGTGGGTACTCTCACGCTCCTACTTGGGATAGAGGGGAGCATATTCGATGCGCCATGTTTAGAAAGCCTGGAGGAGATAGTTTTGCTTGCTGGGGATGGACCTCGACCTCGGGAGGATGCGGAGTTAGACAGAGAGTTAGACACGGTGGTTGGGTTAGAAAGGAGAGAGAGGGACAGGGACGCATCTATGGTGGTGTAATACATTGCACTGTATTTCTAGCACATAGTAGACGTCCGTGCCGCAAATATCTAAATATCATTAATATGTATTCTGTTATCTCCGATGACGTGTCCCGTCGGAGTTAGGCGTCCCGGCTCTGTCCGTATTAGACATTTCCCTTATAATGAGCAGTTAAACTGTACACCGCACTCAGCTCATCCCCCCCACTCTCCATCTCCCAACACCCTATGTCCCACTCCCTCAAACCAGAATGTACACCTCTTAAACACAAGTACGACGCTTGCTTCAACACATGGTTCGAGGGATACCTACAGCCGCCACCGGGGGGCAAGTCAGAGAGCGAGGAAGCGCAAAGACAGTGGCAGAGGGATAAGAGGGACGAGTATGAGAGGACGTGTGGGAAAGTGTGGGAGGGGTATAGGGCGTATTTGGATGTGTATCCCTCTTCCTCATGCAGGAACTTATCACTGACTCGTGCTTAGGGCGCTCTGACAGAAAAAGGACTAGACGACCTGCTCCAACAAGCGAGAGAAGAGAACCCTCTAATAGAAGCAGAGCCTGCAGAAGCAAGACACTGACTTTCTGCATCTGGACGACGGCAGAGCTGAGATCGGGGCCGACGAGCACGGACAAAGTTGGCAGAACTGTGTACGGTACATGGGACAGCCGGGATGGGACGCATAACACGTTTGGACGCATCTATGCATGTACGAATAGAAACATCATCGCACCTCTATCCTTCCTCCGCGTACTCACAATCGTCTGCTTTCCACCCATAAAGAGATCCCGTGGTCACGCCACTCTGCTGGTGATGCCTTGGCTCACGCTGCGCTCCAGACACTCTCTGCACCTCGGGGCGGTGTGGGCTTGGGGCTGGTCATGCCTGACATGCCTCCCGTCGGAGTAGGTGCAGGTGCAGCCTTACGGTACTCGATCTTGTCTACCCGGACCTGGAGGCGTCAGCACATGAGGGTTAGGACAACGAGGGTGGGCTCACCTCGCTGTCGATTAGCTGGTAGACAAAGGTAACGATGACGCTTCCCTGTATGTCCATGAGTGCAAAGCTCGGAACCGCATCACTGTCCTTTATCAGCAACGACTTCATCCATCAAAAGTCAGCGCTTACTTCTCCGAATGCCCTGCCCAAGCGCCCGTCCCACTGCCCGGGTCGACAAAGAACCTCCCTTCATGCTCCTTTGCGCTGAACTGGTGCGTGCCACCAGAGACGAGCACGTCGACGTCCATCTGTCGTGCGAGAGCAGAGAGGGCGTCTTGGTCCCCTAAGGGGACGGATTGGTGTCCGTGCAGGACGCCGAGTCGGACTGGACCGTGTTGCGCTATGAGGGAAAGAGGAAAGGCCGGGTTCTACTCCGAGTGAGTTGCGCTCTGGTTTGGGAGGGAAGAGACGTACCTCGTCGTATTCCCCTTTGACGACATGTACCTCCCCTGCGATCCCTCTCAGGTACTCGAGCGTCTCCCGATCACAGACATTCCCCGTGCACAGGATCTGTTGTATCTTGCCCGGTATGAGTAGTTTCTTGAATTTGGTGGGGAGGCCGTGTGTTCTGCGCAGGACTGTGAGTTATCAATGTTGAGTAATGGGAGGGAGAACTTACCGGTAGGGGATGTGTAGGTCGCCTATGAGGAGTACGAGGACCATGTTGCGTTGGATGGTGGACGGAGGACAACTGATGCACGCAGCCAGGGACTGACTGCAACCCTCACTTCACTCTCTTCAACAATAAATATTATGTGCAAGCTACTCCTCCTTCTTGCACTTCTAGGAAGTACAACCCTCTCCATCAGCTAGTACTTCACTCACTAATGCTTCACAGGCACTCAAGCCCAACTCTCCCTATACATACCCGATACTGACCCTCAGCCTTTGTCTGCTATCGAGCTCGGTGTGGGAGAGAATGGGAGGACGACATGGGAGATCTTACCTGGGGAGCCCACGGGCACTTGGGTTCGACAGGCAGATGGGTTCCCTACACGTACGTTCCTTCCGCTCCCTTCCCGTTGTCTATCTTCTTTCCGTTCCCTATCTCTGTCTGTTCAAAGCAGCAAACTGAAATCGATAAATATAGTAACCTTGGTCGAAGGAGCCCAAGATGCCATCCTCACCGGCGCTCCAGATCTATCCTTTGCAGTATCCTGCACACTCCTCCCCACAACCCCCGGGCAATCCACACCCTTAGCAAGTTGTACAAACCTCGACGGCGGCGCAGGGTGGGAAGAAGATGCCGCTCCTATACTTGTACAGACCGGGGCGGATCCGACGGGGGATACGACAGCCACTTCTGGAGGGACGAGTGCGCAGAGCACGACACGCGCTATTAGCCCGAATGGACCTGTGAGTGGGAGTCCAGTGGTGCCGAGCAGCTCGAGCAGGCCACAGGGGAGCGGGGCACTTCCTTCACTCCCAGGTTTAGGCGCGATTTGGATCAAAGTGGGGATGGTTGCTATTGGGTTGGCAGTGTTTGGTATATGGTAAAGCTGTAGTAAGCTTGTAATAAGATGACAGCCGCATCGGCGATAAGATTTGCAATGCAACATTAACCGCTGTAGCAATTGAATCTTCCCTATCTGCCATGCTCTCTACTTGTCCAGTAAAGATTCGCCACGCAACATTGAACGCTGTAGCAATTGAATCTTCCCTAGCTGCCATGCTCTCTACTTGTCCAGTATGACCTCGTCAGCAAACGATAAAATCGCGTCCCGACATTCGCAAGGCTTCTCTAGGAAGGGCGAATGCCCCGCATCCTTGATCCAATGCTTTGAGGCCCGGGTCCCGAACGTCTCATGTATGATCTCCCAAGCCTGACCTTTGTCGACACCACTATCCTCTTCTGCAAACAACAACACGAGTACATCGCACATATTCTCTCCCAGAGTTAGCCACGCCGTCGCATCCTGCGTGCCCATCAGGTATACCGTCCTCACGGCTGGCGGTTGCGCCCACGCATCCCCGGCGACGGTAGGGCATGTCCTCGGGCCTGTGTACAAGCATGTCGATGATGTTGAACAGCGCATCATGGGCGACATCCACATTGTCGGTCGCCAACAACCCTTTGAACAGGTACTTTGCGAGTTCCGGGAACGTGACGACAGGGACGGCTCCGATGTGAGAGACACCGCCAAGCAAGACTGCACCTCGCAGCGGCGTCTGGCTGTACATCTTGATATCCGGCAGCAACGTACCTGAATTCCACTGAGTTCCAGTTCACAGGGGCGAAAGCGCTTCTATCTGGGTCAAATGATCGAGAACGAGCATAAAGCACTGTTCGGGCATAGTGGCACGGAAGGGGACAAAGACACAATGGACAGTTCTCTCAAAAAGCGTTTCAATCTCGGCGGATCAATCAAGGACGAGAATCACTTCTTTGGTCGTAGTTACAAGCAAGAGGTGGAAGTGGATCTTTCTCTCGAAAAGCGTTTCAGTATCGGCAGATTAATCAAGGACGAGAATCACCTTTGTGGTCGTAGTGAGAAGCAAGACGAGGAAGTGGATCTTTCTCTCGAAAAGCGTTTCAATCTCGGCAGATTAATCAAGGATGAGAATCAACTCTTTGATCGTAGTGACACGCTAGGAGAGGAAGGCACAGTAAACAATTTTTCATAGGACCGCTTGCTGAAAATGCTTAAGCTGACTGAGAGCACCTCCACCGCGCTGTGCACGACCATTCAGATATCTGATATTGATGCTGTGTAGAGCTGCTCTTCTGTGTTGAGATGTCTCAACCTCCGCAGATTATCTAAGCCCTCGGAATCAACCAGATTATCTGAAGTGGCCTCAGTAGTTGCTGACAATGATGCAACAATAACCTGCACACGAGAACACCCCGCCCGGACAACAATCACACCATCTTGGCATCATGGCCCTCTCGGCAAGCCCCACCCCTGCCCACCCATATGTCGCCATCGAAGCCCTCCACTCCGTCCCTCAGAAGGAGGGACATCTACCCTCTCCCAAGGGCCTATCTGTCGCAAGCTGGGGCAGGACTCGTGTAGCTGAGCACAGTGTTCCAGATCTAGTCTGCCCCGGCCGATCAGGATCTTCTTGAGAGAAGGGAAATGGGATAGGGCGGCAGCGATCTCTGGCTGCTGAACATTCAGTATGCCATCTCTTGAATACTGAGAGGGACGTACCAGCCTCTGATCAAGGTAGAAAGCGAGAATACTGAGCTTCTCGATCGTCGGACATGCTTGTCCTACCTGGCCTAGCCGGTGACTAAGCTGCATGCTCGTGTCCTCCCATCTCAGCCCCTTGATCCTCTTATGGCCCCTGAGGGCCTCACACAGGTCTTCGATCGTGTTCTCATCCCTGAACGCGCCTGCGGTTATGCTCAGTGCTTGGAGCGGTCTCAACTCTCCGGAGGGGAGGGGAATGCAGACTTGGGTGTACAGCTGAGCCGAGGTGAGCCAGACGATGTCGAATGTCTGCACACGGGGGAGTGCGTTTTCTGGGAGCGAGATCTCGGCGTGCCCGGCGCACTGGATGCTCACATGTTCGAGGAGTGGATGGGCCTCTAGAAAAGGGACCATGAGAGGCGTGCTCTGGATGTGTCCAAGGTCGAGGGAGCGCAAACAAGGCAGGCGGGCGGTGAACAGAGGGAGAGCGGAGGGGATAGGGTTGATCGTTGAGAAGACGTAGATTGACAGCGAATGGAGGGTGGGGCAGTGACTGGTTAGCTGGGTAATATACCGGATAAGCTGGCTCGCTACGACTGTCAGCAATAGATGTGCAGTGAAATGTTCGCTTACCTTGGACGATGGTCGCGCTCGCCCATGCGAATGCCTCCAATCCTCCGAACATTTCCAGCAGCTGCGCAGACTAAGCTTCACACATCTGAGAAAGCAAGATACATACTTCCACAGCGTCCTCTAAAGCCCATGCTTCCTCCCCCGGCTCCTCAACAACCTCGACGAACTTGAGTTCCCTCTCCTCTGCCCCCCATCCTTCATCACCATAGAACCCACGCAAAAACCCCGTCCAAGGCCTCAGTTCGCCCACTTTGAGCCTCAGCTCCTCGAGGTTCACGCATCCCTTTCCCACAGCAGGGAGTATCTCCCTAACTCGGCGTGTGTTCTCCTGCCGAGCTTTCTCCGTATCCAGTAAGGTCCAAGCAGACCGGTACCCAGCCAGCGCCCTCTCTTCCTCTCCCAGCCTAGGCCCGAATTCCACTTTCCAGAACTCGCTTCGCTCCTTCTCCCCTGTGTCATTGACCGCGAGCCCTCTGACTTCCCTCGCAAGCCGCTTATTCTCCGCTAGGTCTGAGAAGACTGATGCATCGGATTCGGCCAGACAGATAAGCCGGTGGAGCAGGGAGGGAAGGACAAGAGCATGCAGACGGTGACAAGTAAGGGAGAGGGAGAGGAGTGTCCATGGTATTGGGATAAAGAGAAGAACATGGGAAATCAGTTCGGTCGGTAGTGAAAGCAACGTGGTCATCGATGACAGGAGAAGGAAACGCGTGAGTGCGCAAACCCGACGCACTCATCACCAGGTTGTGCAGTACGTCCGTCACACCCCATATACCAGACCTTCAGCAACCTATGTATATTGGCTACAATGATTTAAGAACTTAAATACGTCTAGATCGTCCGTGTTTTTGGTATCTGAGCGTTCGTATCCTGAACCGGCCGGGTAGGAGCGCGCACACATGCGAGGCTAGAGATGCGCGGATGCGTGAATGCGAATGTACGAAGGATGAAAGACGAAAGGATGAAAAGATGAAAGGAGTAAAAGTGGTACAGCTGAAGATAGCCGTGCGTGAGACCACAGATGCGAATGGGAAAGAGCGCACGGCGCTGAGGCGTCTAGCCAAAAGAACGAAATATACTGCGTCCACCCCGAGGAAGGCGGTCACTCAGAGGGGAAGGCTCAGCCTGCCCGGTATCCCTGTGCTTGTACCCGGGGACGGATTTGTCCGTACTGGTGTCTGTACTCGCACAGTTCCCCGATGCATTTCTCCTCCCAGCCTATCGTCCACCAACTCACATCGCTCCCTCAACCCCAACCGATCAGACGGCCAACCCCTCCCCATCCCTAGCAACAGGTACATAAACCTCGATCTTCCCCGCCCAGCTCAGAACGCTCAGCTTCGAATTCCGATTCTCGGGTCTGGGGGGCAGGTCTGGGAAACTTGTCGCCGGGGTGGGGGGGTCGGTGGGTGAGAGCCTAGAGTGGGAGGAGTTGGAAGATGGGGAAAGACGTCCTGAGCTGTAGAAGTGGGGGTGGGGGTGACCGTGGGCTTGTGCGTACAGCGATGGCGAGAGCCCGGCATATCCGGAGTAGGCGTCGGAGGACCCCCGCCCTTGGGAAGGAGTAGAGAGGTACGGACCCGGCAACCCGGATGCGTGCAGCCCGGGGAAGGTATTTCCCGGTGACAAGCCTGCAAAGGTGGGTATCTCCTCCTTGTAAGATGGGCGGGGCTTGTACGACTGAGAACGGGTGGGAGGGGTGTTCAGGGTCGAGGAGGTAGAGACGGAGGAGGTAGGGGTGAAGATGAGAGAAGGGATGGCGGAAGTTGGTGTTGTCGTAGTTGTGGCAGAGTTGGCTGCCATAAGGAGAGGCAGGCTCAGCTCTGGTGGGACACTAGGCGTCGGAGTAGGCGAACGCGTACTAGGCGCTTCTGTGCCCTCGGAAGAAGCAGACAGGGGGAAGGTGCTCTCCGTCCCTGCCGAAGAGGGTTCGGTGCTGAACCCGAATGGGAAGCCTGGAGAGGGGGGTGCGAGGAGTGTAGAGCCCGCTGGGGGTAGGGTGAAGATGTTGCCGTTGGTGTTGCTGGAGCTGACGACGTCGTCCGGTGAGGTAAGAGCGGTAGAGAAGGACGGCGCGGTCGGTGATGACTGGGCGACTATCAAGGGTGAAGGAGGTACGGGTGAAGGAGCCAGCGAGGGAGATGGAGCCGCTACAGGTGAAGGGAATCCTGAGCTTCCTGGAAACAAAGATAGAGGAGTTGCGACTGCGGACGCTGAGGGAGAAGGAGCAGGGGAAGGAGAGAGCTTGAGTGTTCTAGTACCTGTACCTAGAGAATTAAGAAAGTCGTCGCTTTTCCCTACGCACACATTGGTCAACGTCGTCTGCCATTGGGAGTGAGAGAACGCACCTCTGCGAGAATGGGACGGGGCGACAGGCTTGAGGGATACCGTCCCCCATCGCTTTATACTCCCTCGTCTACCAACGCTCGCTCCTGCATTTGGTTCGTCCTTCACACTCGTGACGGGAGCCGCAGAAGCAGTCACACTCCTCCCTAAGCCTTTCGCATCTGCCGTAGTCGGTCTGCGGGGTAACGTCGCGAGCGCATCAGCAGGTAAGGCCAAACTCTCTTTTCCCCCTTCTTGCGGTCGGAGATGGCGCTGTGAAGCTGCACGCTTGAGGGAACGGAGCCTGCGAGGGTGGGACTGGGTTGGAGGGAGAGAGGGGGAGGATTTGTGTGACGGTTTGGTGGGTGGTTTGGTGGTAGTCGAGGAGGTGGAGGGTGTTGCTGGTGTTGAGGGAGCGGAAGGTGTTGCTGGTGGTGGTGATGCTGGAGAACGTTTTATGATTGATTTGAAGAGAGAAGAGATTGATGGCATTTTTTTGGTATGCTTTGATAACCTTTGCTGAAGCCAACAATGAGAGATTGAAAGTGAAATAATGAAATAGATGGTAATGAACGTAGTAAGAGTGAGTGAGCTGACAGAGTGAACGGTTATCCTGCACCGCCAATAGAGAGAATGGATGGTGAACACTGTGCAATCCACCCTTGAAACGAGGAGGAGGACGTTTAGGTATGTATCCATGACGACATTTATTTCACTCTTCTCCTACATCGCAATACGTCGCACGACCGTACATAATATCCTGTACCATAATACAAATAAACTACACAGGAACAGATAAAGGCACGAAGACACCAAGACGCAAAGGCGGAATAAATATGGTAACATACACAGCAACGGCCTTGGTACTACCCCTCTTTACTCACCTCCCCGGCCTTGTACTGGTCTCCTCGAGGCGAACTGAAAGGAGTGTTTTATCCTATAATTGTGCATGCACGCATTCATATTTGAGCGCTGCTACTGAATATTCTGGAAAACCTATTGGAATACTATGAAACTCCATTCCCTGCCCGCCAAACCTGTATGACAGCTCATTGCAGAGGTCTTTGGTATAAAGTCGTTCTCCAGGATATGGCCACTCCATCCCCCACAAACTAGGCGCTGGTCACCTTACTTTCCACTTTTCAGCTCATCGGTGCCGGTCACCACAAGCAATAATCTACGCCTTTTACAGCTCACTCTCTACACACTCACTCTCTACACAATGCGCACTTCTACCGCTCTCCTCCTTATCGCCACCCTCGCCAGCACTTCCCTCGCCCTCCCCGTCCCCCGGGATCAAGACGCGGCGCTTGCTTCTCGGAGCCCTCCGGGTGGCCCTGCTCAGACCCAGACTAGCAAACCACCTACCCCGGAAACGGGTGCCGTATCATCGCGCTCGCTCGACGAGGAAACGGAGCTGAACGAACGGGCCATGGAACTAGAGGAGCGTGGATGGGAGGAGCTCGACCCGCGCGACCTCGACGAATTCCAGTACAGCCTTGATGAACGAGGTGTTCCGAACACCGGTCTTCCCAACAACCCTGGTATCCAGCAGTCAGCTAATACTGTGAATAATAACCAGCCGCAACAGATTCAGCAGCGATCGCTAGAGGACATTGATGACGAAATTGACTTATACGCTCGGTCGATGCCGGAGGAGGAGCTCGATTTCGAACCGTTCAGTGCCCGCAGCGTTCCTGAGGACGAGCTCGAGTGGACCGTGGACATGCGAGATGTAGAGGGGGAGGAGAACCTTGCGGAGCGCAACAAAGTTGGGCAAGCCATGGGCAAGGCGTTCAATATCATTTAATGATTTGGGCAACTTCTACGCCTTCCGCATTGGTACATCGGCATAATTGATACCTATTGTGTACCTTTGTGCCTTCGTTGCATGTCTCTTTAATTCCAAATGTTGCTCTGGACTGAGGTGGTGAAGACTGCGGGCCGTTCGTGTGCCATCATGATGCACGCCTGTTGCCGACACTCAAAGCCGTCTTCACTGACGATCTACGCCTTACACTTACAACTGATTCTCTTCCCACCTGATTGAGGTTCCTATTCAGTTAGTGCGTCAATAGAAATAATACACAGACTCTTCCATTCTTTATTATCCATGTCCGCCCAACCCGTCATTCTCCCATACTGGGACTGTCCTGGCCCCTTTTCGTGAGATCGCATTTGAGGACTTGGTGCGCAGGCTTGAGGAGCGGATGAGCACAAAGTGGAAGAAGGTCGTCAACACGCCTCTTGTTATGAAACCTCCTAAGAAACCGTCTAAGAAACCGTGACTGTTTCCTCCTACGGTGTGCTGTAATCAAATGCATGTGTTCCTTTGCACAGGGAGTATCGAGCATCTATTTGATGTTATTAAGTCATACTCCCATGGATAAGCTTAAGTGGTGCATAATCACGCCTAATGTGGAGAGTGAGAAGATCCAGGACCACAAAAAGAGTAGGAAGTCTTTCCATCCATTTACTGCGAGCAAATTTCTTGCGTTCTTCAGTAGCATGTCAGTCCACATACTTGCTTAATGATGCACCTTCGGCGTACGTCATTCTGAAGCTCTATCCTGGCTGATGCGAGTGTTTTCCAATGTTGGGCGATGGCTTCCACAAGAGACGGACTGGGGTAGGAGACGAGAAGCATACGCAGTTCCCGGAGTATGAGAGTAACTTCTCTCCTCGCTCGGGTCACACGACGAGCTGAACGTCTTCGACCTGTGCCATAGATCGTAGATGAGCAGGAGGAAAGGAGGCCCAATGGCCTGCTGGGTCTTGACGCGGGTCCCGTGGCCGAGACCCGTCCGGCTGAGGTTACAAAGTCGCGTCTTGACGACGCGACAGGAGCTAGTTGCACGGGGGCGGTTTCTCTTTGTTCCTGACGTCATCATTACGTATCGTGATCGTCACAGGCATAGCCATGAATACTCGAGTTATGAATCCACCCCCTGCCCGCGCCATATATATGGTCTCCCTTACACAGACTCGATCAACCATTTTGCGGCTACACTAGCGCCCGTTTAATGCTGAGCATCCACGCCATATTCCAGTGCTAACTCGGCCTTCCCATAGCAACTGAATATCTTGGAGTATTTTTTAGTTATCGAAGCGGGCTCTGCTAGGTAAGATTCGCCGTTCGATCTTTTGCAATTCCGGCCCAAGGTTTCAAGGTAATGCAGTCGCCTTCCGCCCTCTGGCGTATAAAACGGGTCTACAAACTCACAAGTTATCGTACACATACCCTTGAGCCGCGGTGCTGGTCACCCTCATCTACACTTTTACAAACACAAGACTACTCGGTGCCGGACACCAACCCATTCTCTTGACTTTAATTCCTCTTTCCCTCTACAATGCACGCTTCCACCACTTCCATCCTGATAGCAGCTCTCGCAAGTTCGTCATTGGCTGCCCCTATCTTCCCGGACCCAGAAGCGCTCAACGCCCGGAACCTTGCCGCACGTAACGTCCTCTATCAACTTGCAACACGCGATACTCCTACCGCCGATCACTCCAAGCAGAATCAGAATGAACACCCGATTTCCGCACGTTCGGTTGAGCAGAAGGACGAATTGGATGAGCGGGATCTTGAAGACTTCCCCCAGTTTGACGAGCGCGATGAGGACAACTCTCTGGACAAACGCAGTCCCATCAACGTCTTTGCTACAAGCAAGGCCTTTGCAAGAAGCGCTCTTGGTAAAGGCAGGGCTGGGAGGAGTTTTGTAACCGGCGTGGCTAAACGCGGGTCTAAGCACCTGAAAGCACTCGTAGCCGGAGTTGTCAAAGGGAATACCGACACGGTTCAGGGAGTGAAAGAAAACGTAGGCAACCAGGACCAGCAGCAACGGTCGCTGGACGACATCGATGACGACATGGACGTGTACGCCCGCTCCTTGCCTGCTGAGGAGTTTGAATGGCAGACGTGGGAAGCACGCACCTTCCTTCCCGAACAGGTTGAGGTAAGCAGCTTTCCTTGCTCTGGTCCAGTTGACGAGTTAGGCTTATTCGAACTGCACAGACATCCAACGGCAAAGCTTGAGGCGGATTTCCTGGGAACCAAAGTTTGAAGACGAGCGCAATGGTTCCCCGGATATGTGAGGTTGAGGAGAGTTGCATGCAGCGCGCGACATGTGTACATAGACATTGCTTATTGCCGCTAGTCAAGTGAAAAGGCTGTCTTCCCTCGGTGATGCATCCCAATGTTCACACGACCTTATGGTTTATAATTGTGCTGCAATTCAGTGCCTACTCTAGCTTTTGCTCTTTCTACGCACTAGACATCGAGTGACCACGGTGTTTGCCGTCCAGTGCCCCTTGATGCCGTATCCAACTCAGTGACAAGAAAGCATAAATATTGTATGTCAGGTCGCCACGCACCTAGAGGATCTGAGGAAAAACCGTCGGCCAGAGGGCAACAAATACGTGATCACCCTACTTCAGTTGGCTGTGGAGCCGCTGCAGTGCACACAGCTAAGTGGCCATTATGGAAACACTTCCGGAGCAATGAGGTGATGGTGGGAAGTGTACATTTGTCGTCTGTTTCGGAGTGATGTCCATGAAAGGACACAGACAAACTTGTGTCAGAAGTGAATGGTGCTCTTGGCAATTCAAAACATCATGGCCAAGAACAGGGGTCTTTTGTCTCCGCCGGACGCTGCGACATGCTCCGTGTTGAGCAATCATATGTTATCCCAAACTCCTCGGTTCTGCACACAGCCCAACATCCCCTCAAACTTGTGCCATCATCCTCGCAACACGAGTCACGCATTCAATCTGCAGGTTTACTAGGCTATTCCCAGCACACAAGTGTCGCTATTCAGAGCATTTGGACCATGCCAGCTAATGCAGATTAAAGTTCCGCGTTCGTGAAACACCGTAACCATCGATCCTCGCGCACTGTTCTGTATTGCAAACCGGAAAACATGCACTAGGGGTTTCGCGCTCAGCATCCGATATTTCTATACACTCTTACGCTATTTAAGCCCTAGGAGGAAGGATACTGCTGCTCATCCCTCCCCGGTTACATTCTACAGGTGCTGGTCACCTGGTCTCCCACTCGCCCTCCTCACATCTTCTCTCTGGTGCTGGACACCCCACTTTCATACATATCCAATCAACCCTTAACGAACTATATTAACCATGCGCACCTCTTCTGTCGCCGTCCTCGCCGTTGCTCTCGCAGCTTCCACCCTTGCGGCCCCTGTTAACCTGGAACAAGACGCGGCCGGTCTGGAGGCGCGGGCTGATTTCGCCAAAGTTGAGCATACGGTCGCCCACCACGTCGACGAGAACGCCGGCGTTTACAATACTATTGCCAATGGAGCGATGAATGTTATCAACAGTCGCTCAATCGATGATGAAGCAGCTCCCGAACTCACGGAGCGTGAGTTCCAGGAGCTTGTCGGGCGTAACTGGCTCACCGGCATGGGCAAACGGATATTCAGACCGCGTCACGCAATCGTAAACCACCTCCAGGAGAACCAAGAGCAAAACCAGGAGCGGTCCCTTGACGATGAGATGGAACTTGACGAACGTGATCTGGAGGAGCTCGACCAGCTTGAACCGCGCCTCTTCGGCTTCATAAAGAGGTTACGTAACAAGATTTTTGGAGGCAACAGCAACAACATCCAGAACAACAATCAGAATTATAATCAGGAATACCAGAAGCGGTCCCTTGACGATGAGATGGAACTAGACGGACGTGATCTGGAAGAGTTCGACCAGCTCGAACCGCGGCTCTTCGGATTCGTCAAGAGGATCGGTCACAGGTTTTTCGGATCCGGGGTTGGCCATTCAAATAACAACCAGGAATATACGCAGAAAAGATCGTTGGAGGATGTCGAGCAGCTGAACGCGCGAGACCTGGAGGACCTTCTGGAGCTCGACGAGCGCGAGATTGACGAATTCCTGGATAGCTTTGATGAACGTGGCATTGAAGCTCTTGCCAGCAGAATGCTTCATCATCACAATGCCAAGAAGGCGGCGGCGGCGGCGGCGGCGGCGGAGACGGAGGTTGATAACAACCAGCAGGCTCAGCCTCAGCCTCAGCCTCAGCCTCAACCTCGCTCGCTAGAGGACATCGATGATGAAATTGACTTATCCGCTCGGTCGATGCCGGAGGAGGAGCTCGATTTCGAACCGTTCAGTGCCCGCAGCGTTCCTGAGGACGAGCTCGAGTGGACCGTGGACATGCGAGATGTAGAGGGGGAGGAGAACCTTGTGGAGCGCAACAAAGCTGGCCAAGTCTTCAGCAAGGTGCTCAATATCATTTAATGATTTGGGCAACTTCCACGCCTTTCGCATTGGTACATCGGCATAATTAATACCTATTGTATAGCTTTGTGCCTTCGTTGCATGTCATTTTACCACCTGATTGATGTTCCTATTCAGTTAGTGCTTCGATAGAATTGAATACACAGACTCTTCCATTCTTTATTATCCATGTCCGCCCAACCCGTCATTCTCCCATACTGGGACTGTCCTGGCCCCTTCTCGTGAGATCGCATTTGAGGACTTGGTGCGCAGGCTTCGTTCCATCACCTTAACACATCTAGTGCTTAGCCTAGTCATCTAGATTCGCGTCCTGCCGGTCGAGCTCAGCTACACTGTCCTCTCGTCCCTGCCTCTTCCCCTTCCACGCAGGGACTTCCACGACGCAAGACTGTCCATTCTCGCCTCGGCTTTCTCACAGTCTTCAACCTCCGACATTCTTCATGATACCGAGGATGAGCATCGGCGCGACATCAGTGGGGTGGACGAACGCAAGTTTGAAGAGGTATTTAACGAACGGAGCGACGTGCGCCCGGGTCTGTACGAGGGTGGGATGAAGACGTGGGAAGGAGCAGTTGACCTGGTAAACTACCTATCGGACAACGAGAGACGGACTGCTGCTTTGAGCCAAGGGAGCATCCTTGAAGTGCG